GAGGTCCTGTCCGCCACTGTGGTTTCCCTTACATCAGAGGAATGTACTCACGTCTTTCAAAAACCATGGTAATGTTGACATGATGTAATACTTTTTAGCTCAAAACATTCAGCCCCCTATTTAATATAGCTGTTACCTATATAACCCCTTCATGATGGAGGGTAAAACAAATCATGAGGCTTGAACACAATTTGCATCTTTGGCATGCATTAGTAGAGCAGTACATATCATCACAACTACTTAGAGTGTACAGATGAGTTATATCTTGTATTTATTCAGGACAAATTATGCTTTCATTTTGGTGGCAAGCGGAAATGGATATCTCCTAATTCTTTATTATCAAAGAAAAAAATGGCACAAAATAGTAAAAAAATATAGTTTTTTTTTAAATATAGCTGTCTATTTCTTGCTATAATAATAACCTACCTGCCCAGAATGGATTCTCCTGCTCCTGATGACTGCAGCAAATACCACAGATGTAGAAAAAAACTATAATGTATATTTTTCTCCATTCAAGAGCAAAAAAAGCAAGACAGCAGTGGGCTATACAGTGACTGATTACTGTGATAGCCAATCAGAGGCTATCGAAGCGATCAGGTGATTGGGAACCAGGGCTGCTGACTTCTGATTCTAGTATGGGACCCAGAGATCTTGGTGAGAGCCCAACCTTGGTGTTGGGAGAATGCTGTGCAGTGTGCTCCCAGCACAAACACAAGTATGCATAAATGTAGCCCCATGGATAAAGACAGTTGGCAAGAAGGGGTTAATGTATATGGTAATGATATGCTAACTTAAAAATGATGCAGTATTGACTTTTATCCTGTGTAATATTAAAAAGAGAAGTGCACTCTGTCCTCAAGAGAGAAAAAGGCATCTTCTCATGGGTATCCACATACAGCCTGAAGCAATAGTTTATATACTTTACCCTATCCGCGACTGAACCACTACTCCCTGCTGTATCTGCAGACCAGTGGGAATTATGTAGGCATGTGATACAGATGTCTATATTTATATGAAAATATACTACTAAACACTTGGATATTCTGAATTCTGTTCATGGTATGATGGTTATATTTATCTACTATATTGCATGTTATCTTTTTTAAAGTGGTTATAAAGCTAGAAGGTTGTTTACCTTAAAGTGGTTGTAAAGGCTGAAGGTTTTTTACCTTCATGTATTCTAAGCATGAAGGTAAAAAAATCTTCTGGATGCAGCAGTGCCCCCAGCCCCCCCCAATACTTACCTGAGCCCCATCGCGATCCATCGATGTGCACAACAGCCTCAGCTGTCCTAGGTCTCTGCCTCCTCATTGGCTGAGACAGCAATTGGGAGCCATTGGCTCCTGCTGCCCTCAATCACAGCCAGTCAGCCAATGAGGGGAGAGAGGGGGTGTGGCTAAGCCAACAGACACACAGAGCAGCGGGTACCCGCACAGCAAACTGCTTGCTGTGGGGGCATCAAACACAAAGGATGAGCCAGGAGAGCCTGCAGAGGCCCCAGGAAGAGGAGGATCCAGGCTGCTCTGTGCAAAACCACTGCACACATCAGGTAAGTATAACATGTTTGCTATTTTACAAAAATAAAAAATAACCTTTAATATGTTTTTTTTGAACCTTTAATATCACTTTAAAGGTAAAAGGTAAAAAAAATCTTTGGTTTGCTCTCCCCCTAAGCCCCCCTTATGCTAGGTTGACACATATGCGTGGACATGGCAGCCCATTCATTTAAAAGAACTATTGTGCCTCCGGAAACACAAGAAAAAGGTCCCTGCAGCATTTTAGAAATCACAGCCCGCACAGGAACCACAAGTACAATGCAGTTTCCAATGCAGGAATGATTACCAGTGCATGTGGCATGCCATTAGGATTAATGGCACCTGCACACATCCAGCGCGTTTTTTTTCTGTGCAGATGGTTGCAGCTGTGGGAATAGGTGTGAAACCTGCAGTAGAAACCAACACAAAGATTTGTACCCAGCTTTTTTTTGTCTAATCTCAGTTCGGCAATGTGCATAAGAACAGAGGCTCTCTCAGCACTCTCCCTCCTCATTGGCTTAAAGACAGCAGTGAGAGTCATTGGCTCCTGCTGCAGCAAATTACAGCAGCAGGATCAAGCCGCAATCCATAAGAATTGACACATAGAGCAGGGCTCAGTAGCGAGCCTCCATGAGTGCCTTCATAGCAAGCAGCTTGCGATGGGAGCTGTTGTCAGGGGGGAGGAGCCCAGACTGAAATAAGACATCAAACTTTACAGTCCCTTTAAGCTGAGTATACATGTTCAGCAGGAATCGGTTAACTTTCGGTACATGTGTGTAGCTATCTGTTAACCCTTTGAGGACCATAAGATTACGGAACACCAAAAGAATCAATTTTTTGTTTTTAAAGTTCGTACACTTCAGTTGCTGTAACTAAGCCATTTCATGAAAAAATTGGCAAAAAGCTAGATCCATTTGTTGATAAGAACTAATATTTTGACACAAACTAAAAAAAAAAAAAAAAAGTATTTTAAGTTTCCTAATCAGATGATACAGGCAATTAAAAACATGGGACAAATACATCCCTTGGTCCTCAAAGGGTTTTTAAACAGAAGCCCGTCATTAGATCAGCTAATGGCTGCAGCACTGATCTGTATATTCTGGTGGAGAGGAGTCAGAATACTATAGCTCAGTGGTTGAGAGATACATGAACCCAAGTAATGCATCCATATTACTTGGGTTCATGTATAAATCTGTGAAGTTTGTATACCCCGCTTTAGACATGTGAAAGATCACGTAATATTACTATCTGACAACCACTGCTTACTCCAGTCCTGAAGAAAGGAACATCTTTAGTGACACATGTTCATATGAGTTAGCACAGACTCCAGAATTGTGTAAACGCAATCTATAAATTTGATGATATAGTCAGTGAGTTTATATTGCATATTAAATGTACCAAGATATTCATTCTATTGAGTATGTCTATTGTACATTCTTCCTCCGAGTTACCATATGGCACAACAATATGGCTTACATAAGCAAGGAAAGTTTTTGCTTTAACTAACTGAGCTTGCTTTGCAAAAATAAACGTAGATGAAGATATACTGAACACTTGGGGAAGGATGATAAGAGGTATCTGACAGAATGGGAACTTGAATTTTTTTAAAGAACTGTGAACACTTTTGGTGCTAAATAAAATCCGTATATTAATAAAATATAAATTCTGTATAATAGGGCTGTTTGTTTACATGTGTTTTGTAACAAACTTGTGTTATCAAAACATTTCTTTGACATTTATGAGATGAATTGTAGAGTTTTTATTACTGAAAAACGTTAAAATATACTTATTTAAAAGAGGCACTTAAACCATGATGAATTAAAACATTAGATGTAGTATCCACTCTGGTTTGTACTTTAATATTTTTACGTAATTGTGGATTTATTCAACATCCTTTGCCACTCTTATGGCATATTATTAGAGATATAGGAACATTTCCAAGAAGAGAAATGTGAATCCTTGAAAATGTATAATAATTGGCAAATATACTGTATATAACAGCTGCTAATTACATTTTCACTTATGCAACAGTCTCACAATTTGCATTCAGTTGGAGACTTGGGCACAGATGATACTATTTTTTTTCAGCTGCGCAGGATACATGGATTTGTCAGTTTATAAGGAAAAATGTGATGCAGTTCCTAAAATAGAACTGTCAGAGATGCATCAAGTCTTTGCAGAGAAATGTTTACACGGCTGTTTATCCTTCACATTATCTGAAGTGTCATTTCAATGTCTTGATTACTCTGTAGAACACCATTGTAGTCTTGTGACCCATTATTAGTCTCTGTATCATTGAAACTCATTTACAAGTGACAGTTAACTTCAGCTTTAAAAAGCCAAAAAGGATACACCATATTAGTCAGAAGGTGGGATAATTAACTAGACTCTGTCTATTGTACATTCATCTCTGTGTAACCATATGGCACAGCAATATGGCTTACATAAGCAAGGAAAGTTTTTGTTTTAACTGATAGAAGTCTTAAAAGAAATCAAATACTTTGCAAAAATAAAAGTACAGAAATATATATTGGACACCTGAGAAATTATGATAACGGGTCTGATAGAACAGAAATTTTTTAAATTGCAAATCAAAACTACTGTAAACCCTGTAAGAAATGATCAGATAGTCTTTAAACCCTTGACTACCTTTGATGTGTCCTGTATAACCTTGCAATCAAGGGGTTAAAACAAGTTTATGCTTTTCATGAACTTTTTTTAAATCCATCTGCTGATTTTGCTTTGTAAAACAAAAATGATCTGGCCAGCTAACAGATCTGACCAGTAATGGCCAGGTAGAATGCAGATCGGGGATTGTTTGTCTTTTTGTAAATCAACCGCTTTGGGTATTCCTGTTAATGCCAAAGTAAGAGGCTCTTTCAATGCTCTCACTCTCACAAAAAAGACCCCGTTCACATTTGGCGATTTGAGATTACATGCAGAATCGCGTGCAATAGTGGCAAAATGCACCACGTTCTTAGATTGTAAGCTCTAACGAGCAGGGCCCTCTGTTTCCTCTTGTACCAAATTGTATTGTAACTGTAATGTCTACCTTCATTTTGTAAAGCGCTTCACAAACTGTTGGCGCTAAATACCATATTTTTCGGTCCATAAGACGCACCTGACCATAAGACGCACCTAGATTTTAGAGGTGGAAAACAGGAAAAAAAATATTCTGAACCAATGGACTGCAGACATAGTACAGGAGATGACCAGAGACTGTGGACATAGTACAGGAGATGACCAGAGACTGTGGACACGGTACAGGAGATGATCAGAGACTGCGGACACAGTACAGGAGATGACCAGAGACTGCGGACACAGTACAGGAGATGACCAGAGACTGCGGACACAGTACAGGAGATGACCAGAGACTGCGGACACGGTACAGGGGATGACCAGAGACTGCGGACACGGTACAGGAGATGACCAGAGACTGCGGACACGGTACAGAGGATGACCAGAGACTGCGGACACGGTACAGGAGATGATCAGAGACTGCGGACACGGTACAGAGGATGACCAGAGACTGCGGACACGGTACAGGGATGACCAGAGACTGCGGACACGGTACAGGGGATGACCAGAGACACGGTGCGGACACGGTACAGGGGATGACCAGAGACTGCGGACACGGTACAGGGGATGACCAGAGACTGCGGACACGGTACAGGGGGATGACCAGAGACTGCGGACACGGTACAGGGGATGACCAGAGTCTGCGGACACGGTACAGGAGATGACCAGAGACTGCGGACACGGTACAGGGGATGACCAGAGACTGCGGACACGGTACAGGAGATGACCAGAGACTGCGGACACGGTACAGGGGATGACCAGAGACTGCGGACACGGTACAGGGACATGTGATAGGTCCCAGAAGATTACAGGGCCATTCACAAAGCCGGCGCTTCTCTCGCATGTGCAGTGGGCACCCGGCTGTGAAGCTGCAAGTTGTCACAGCCGGGTGCCCATGCGGGTGCCGGGGAGAGAACACTGAGGATACCGCTGTACCGAGGCACAGATAGGACCGCTGGAGGTCTGCAGAGAAGAGCAGAGTGGCCGGTCTGGTATTCTAACACAGGGGGGATACCAGTCCAGCCGCTCCATATTCGCTCCATAAGACGCACAGATATTTCCCCCCATTTTTTTGGAGGAAAAAAGTGCATTTCATGGAGCGATAAATACGGTAAATTCTATATTATAATAATAATAATAATGCGTATTTGCGTGCCATTCATTTTTAAAGGCCCCAAAATGCTGCATGGTTGTGCTGCGATCGTCACACAATAATATTGTGGCAATTGCTGCAAACTGCATTGCAGAAAGCTTGGCGCCCAAAAAAGAAGCACAAGCTTATTTTGGGCAAAAAGCTTCACGCAATGCAGTTTGCAGCAATTGCCACACCATTTATCTTGCGACAATCCTGGCAAAACCGCTCTGCGTTTATGTACCATTAAAAATTAATTGCACTCAAATTTGTGTGGGGTGTTTTGCCACTCTTGCACTTTATTTGGAATCACAGGCAGAATCGTGGTGATTTTGCCTGTGATCCCAAATTGCCAGATGTAAACAGGGTCTAATTCTTGGTTATTTACAGTTAACGCCATAGTGAAGAGGTGTAAAGGTTTTTAAAGCCTTGTCTACTTTTGGTGTTGAAATTTTTCAAATTTTTGAGGCTTGATATATTTGTTAATTATTTATGGAACACTGTCTCATCTTTTAAAGTTTACAATACAATGAAGATTTAATTGTGTTTGTCTGCACTTACATTCATTTTAATTCATTTACTGAAAATATATGTTTGATAAACATTTGTAGAAATATCATGCAACATAAAAAACTGCAGCCATCGCCTTTTTATTCTATAGGTCCTTTGCTTTCACAAAATATACGTAGGGTTTTATACATTTTTTTACCTGTCTTTAATCTCATTAAGGGTATTTCTGATCACTTCCTGTTTTGTTTGACACTTATTGCCTGGATAGAAAATGAGGGGAAATCTTCCATTGGGGACCCAGACAAGAATGAAAATACTGTATATCAGATGTTCTAATCTTTTCCCTTTGTACTACAAAAACAGATTTTAATACTGTCTATGTCCTATTTTTTATTGAAAGAGATATATTTTAAGAATAATACATATAATTTGACTACAAGTTATACATTATTTTAACATGTGCTCCCAAATCCTACAAAATAAAACTTATGGAGACGTGTCATCTGCCCACTCAGAGCAAAGTGACATTGCTTCCTAACAGCCCTCCCTCACAAATTTGACTCCCCAGTCTGTGTCTACTGCCTCTCTTTTTCGCTGGAGCCCATTGCTTTGATGAAGTGGATCTGCGTATAGGGAAGCATGTGACCTGCCCATGGCAGTGCTTGGGTCTTAGACGGCAATGGACAGACCAAAACACTGTCACAATGAGTAGCCGTGACTTAATTCACCAAGGTAAGCTCCAAAACTATCCAACACCAGAACTTATGATGGGCTCCCGCAACAGAAAGGTGGCACAGATTGGTGGGTATACCTTGTGGAGGGTAGGTGTATCAGCAAGCGCTGTTATTGAATGGGCAGTGTCACTTTAACCACTTCAATACTGGGTACTTTTACCCCCTTCCTGCCCAGGCCAATTTTCAGCTTTCAGTGCTGTCACACTTTGAATGACAATCGCGTGGTCATGCAACACTGTACCCATATGAAATGTATATCATTTTTTTTTAAAAACAGATAGAGCTTTATTTTGGTGGTATTCAATCCACCACTGTTTTTTTTCTTTTTTGCTACACAAACTAAAAAAGACAGAACATTTTGAAAAAAGTATTTTTTCTTAGTTTTTGTTATAAAATTTTGAAAATAATTTTTCTTCTGATGCACTGATGAGGCTGCACTGATATGCACTGATGGGCATTGATGAGGCTGCACTGATGAGGTGGTATTGATGGGCACTGATGAGCTTCACTGATGGGCACTGATGAGGCTACACTGATGGGCGCTGATAGGCAACACTGATGGGCACTGATGGGGCTGCACTGATTATCGCTGTAAACGATGTACTGACAGCCCTGCTTGTTATCGATAACCAGCAAGGCTGTTTACATGTGGTCAGCTGTGATCGGACACAGCTGATCACATGGTAAAGAGTCGCTGTGATATACGCTTTACTCGTTGTGTGATCAGCTGAGTGCACCTGATGTGTGCCTCAGAGGTGGGGGGGAGGGGAACCACGCTGTAGGCATCTTTTGGCTATAGTGTGGTTGGCAAGTGGTTAAAGTAAATTTTCAGTGATTTTATAGATGGGCAATCTGGATCAGGATGACTCCGCTGTTGGATCAGAAATCAAGTTTTACAATAGCTAGTTATGGTGGTAATGCATAGTAAACTATATGGACTAGAAAAAAACCTGTGAGAAGTAGCCAAAGAGGTGAATTTAGGAGCTCAATGATTTTGTGCCAGATTCAACATTTTTTGCCCTTTTTGAACAAAAATTAAAAAGATGCTTTTAATGGTATATTTAACAGAGTTTACATACATTACATACAGGTGAAACTCGAAAAATTAGAATATTGTGCAAAAGTTAATTTATTTCAGTAATGCAACTTAAAAGGTGAAACTAATATATGAGATAGACTCATTACATGCAAAGCAAGATAGTTCAAGCCGTGATTTGTCATAAATGTGATGATTATGGCTTACAGCTTATGAAAACCCCAAATCCACAATCTCCGAAAACACTGTTCAACAGGTAAAAAGTTTTGGGCATAAAATTAGCTAATCTTACATAATTTTGGGGTGCTGAAAACGAAAATGACCCTAAAAAATGTTGATTGGCTCTAGTTTCCATGATATATTCACCCATCTAATGACGTAAGCCATTCAAAATTATGATGCAACTTCAGCTGCATATTGCGCAATTGATACTGGTGACCAATAGAAAATTGCATGTACAGTCATGGCCGAAATTGTTGGCACCCTTGATATTTCTCCAGAAATCATGTATTTCTCACGAAACGTATTGCATTAACACATGTTTTGCTATACACATGTTTATTCCCTTTGTGTGTATTGGGACAAAACAAAAAAAGGGAGGAAAGAAAGCAAATTCGACATAATGTCACACAAACCTCCAAAAATGGGCTGGACAAAAGTATTGGCACCCTTTCACAACTGCGGATAAATAAGAATGTTACAAGCATGTGATGCTCCTGTAAACTCACCTGGGGCAAGTAACAGGTGTGGGCAATATAGAAATCACACCTGAAAGCAGATAAAAAGGAGAGACGTTCACTTAACCTTTGCATTGTGTGTCTGTCTGTGCCACACTAAGCATGGACAACAGAAAGAGGAGACGAGAACTGTCTGAGGACCTGAGAACCAAAATTGTGGCAAAATATCAACAATCTCAAGGTTACAAGTCCATCTCCAGAGAACTAGATTTGCCTTTGTCCACAGTGCGCAACATTATCAAGAAGTTTGCAACCCATGGCACTGTAGCTAATCTCCCTGGTCGTGGACGGATGAGGAAAATTGATGAAAGATTGCAACGCAGAATAGTCCGGATGGTGGATAAGCAGCCCCAAACATGTTCCAAAGACATTCAAGCTGTCCTGCAGGCTCAGGGAGCATCAGTGTCAGCGCGAACTATCCGTCGACATTTAAATGAAATGAAACGCTATGGCAGGAGACCCAGGAGGACCCCACTGCTGACACAGAGACATAAAAAAGCAAGACTACAGTTTGCCAAAATGTACTTGAGTAAGCCAAAAGCCTTCTGGGAAAACGTCTTGTGGACAGATGAGACCAAGATAGAGCTTTTCGGTAAAGCACATCATTCTACTGTTTACCGAAAACGGAATGAGGCCTACAAAGAACAAAACACAGTACCTACGGTAAAATATGGTGGAGGTTCAATGATGTTTTGGGGTTGTTTTGCTGCCTCTGGCACTGGGGTGCCTTGACTGTGTGCAAGGCATCATGAAATCTGAGGATTACCAAAGGATTTTGGGTCGCACTGTAGGGCCCAGTGTCAGAAAGCTGGGTTTGCGTCCAAGATCCTGGGTCTTCCAGCAGGACAATGACCCCAAACATACGTCAAAAAGCACTCAGAAATGGATGGCAAAGAAGCGCTGGAGAGTTCTGAAGTGGCCAGCAATGAGCCCAGATCTAAATCCCATTGAACACCTGTGGAGAGATCTTAAAATTGCTGTTGGGAAAAGGTGTCCTTCCAATAAGAGAGACCTGGAGCTGTTTGCAAAGGAAGAGTGGTCCAAAATTCCGGTGAGAGGTGTCAGAAGCTTATTGATGGTTATAGGAAGCGACTGATTTCAGTTATGTTTTCCAAAGGGTGTGCAACCAAATATTAAGTTAAGGGTGCCAATACTTTTGTCCAGCCCATTTTTGGGGTTTGGTGTGACATTATGTCATATTTGCTTTTCTGCCTCTGTTTTATATTTGTTCCAATACATACAAAGGGAATAAACATGTGTATAGCAAAACATGTGTTAATGCAATACCTTTTTTGTGTGAAATACTTGATTTTCAGGAAAAATATCAAGGGTGCCAACAATTTCGGCCATGACTGTATACTGAGATGATGCAATATTAGCCTTTAATTGCATCACTTCACTGCATAAAAGCTGCAGTATCTGTAGCTGGTTGTAGTTCGACAGCGTCTTTACATTTCGTTTTATGCTTATATAGGCTACTCAGTAATGCCTCGAACTTGTGTGAATAAAGCAGATAATTTCTGCTATATCTGCGGTGAAATAACTTTTATCTAACAAAAAAGGAGGATAACAGGAATGATTAAGAAAGCCTACAACTTGTATTTTGGCTGCAAGATAGGAGACCAGGACAAGAGCTGGGCACCACATATATGCTGCAATTCTTGTGGGACGGCACTGGAGCAATGGTTGAATGGAAAAAAGGCATCTATGCCTTTCGCTGTGCCAATGATTTGGAGAGAGCCAACAGATCATGTTAGTAATTGTTACTTTTGTATGGTGCCTCCAATTGTAAAAGGGCTAAATAAGAAGAAAAAGTTATCTGTGCACTATCCAAATATTCCATCGGCAATACGTCCAGTTCCTCATGGA